AAAGGAAATGCAAGGAGAAGGCAAAATTGCAATTTCCTCTCAAATACATTGCAGGTATTACAGAAACCCCAATCCGAACACTGTAACACATTTTCCATGGACCACAACCGGATTAGTTTGCACAGAATGTGAGGGAACCCAAGCTAGAAGACGTCTGAGTGTGAAAGGGCAACAGCCGGCAGCCTGGTAGCAGCATTTCAGGATGCCTGAGAAGGAAGATGGCACTGCTGAGGAAAGCTCAGGCTTTTCCCTGCCCCCAAATGCATTTGCCCTTCAAAGTTTGTTGGTCCCTGCCAGACAGAAGCCCAACCAGTTCTGTCCTTCCAACTTTTGTAGGCCCAGAGCTTCCTGCTAGTCCCAGGCAGTTATAGTCCTGGAATCAAAATTCAGGCCTACAAACACAGAGAACCCCTCAGCAGTTCCCATTGTTACAGTCCCACAAACCAGACAGGTCCCTGCTGACAGCTGCTGTAGTCACGATCTCCCAGGTACTCTGAGCTGTTTTGTTGCTGACTCTTGTCACATGGCCCCCTGTGCCTTCCATACCTCTGCTTCTCCCCATTTAATAATCCATCCTGGGAGTCCTTCTAGTGCCTTCCTGCAAACAGGATTTCTCTCTTCAGGTCCTGGGATCCCTGCTTCCTTCTCCTTTTTAAGTTTTCTATAACCTTCAAAGCTGGGCTCTGACTCTGGCCTTCAGGTGGGGCCTATGCCCCCCAGCATTAGCAAATGGCTTGGCACAGTGTAGCCTTTAGAGAACTGCTTGGATGAAATCCCAGAGGTCTGGAGCTGCAGGAAAGTGGGTTAGCCCAGCTTTCATAAAGACTGTTTGGTCCTGCTTTCGTTTCTGCTCCAATGTGGGAACAAACTTGCTTTTTTAAACTGCCTCAGATCACATTGTCAGTGCTGACTGTGTTGTTTATGTCAAAGCCAGAGCCTTAGGCTAATTTGGGAATGGATAGGACTCTGCTAATTCCTTGTATAAATATGAGATCTGCTCTCTGGCCTTCTAGGTCAAGGTCTTAGGTGGGACACCTGGGGCCTCCACTATCTCTGAATTTTCTGGAACTAGATTGTTTTTTGTCTCTGATTTCAAGTCCTGAGAGAGAGAACTGATAGCAAAGGCCATGTCTGGAAGCAATTTGGGTGGTAGTAAGGTGGGGGTGAGGGGTGTTGTTTCTTAAGGCACGCCCAGCCCTTTTCTCTTTGTTCAGCTAGGCAAGCCACATCTGCTGGCTCAGATCTGTTCTGTATAATGCCCCCAGAAATCTAACTTCTAGAAAAAGAAGTGGCCTGTAAGCATTCCAGACTCACTAAGCAAATGATAAGAATCTGAAATTACTATTTTTCAGTAAGAAAATATTTCAAGAAGGACCAAGTGGCAGCATCGATGGACTCAAGCGTGGCAACAACAATGAGGTTGGCCCAGAATCGGGCAGTGTTTTGTTCTGCTGTGTATAAGATCGCTATGGGTCGATACCGACTTGATGGCACCAAATAACAACAAAATAATACCAGAGTGGTGCTGTAGGATAAGCACTGGACTGGAAGGTCAGTTTGAACCTCAAGGTCAGTCATTTACATTCTATAGCCACTCCTCGGAGACCCATACAGGGTTGCTATGATTCAGAGCTGTCTCAGCAGCACTTAACATAGTACCAGAGTCCTGGTGTGGCACTGTAGGTTTAAGCTCTACATCGCAAGGTTGGCGGTTCAAACTCACCAGCTGCTCTTCAGAAACTCTACGCAGGGTTGCTATGAGTTGAAATTGACTCAAGGGCACTTAACAACAAAATAGTACCAGAGAAGGAACCCTAGTGGCACTGTAGGATAAACATTGGACTGCTAATGATAAGGTCAGCAGTTCAAACCAATGGAGAAACGAGATTTTCTGCTCTCATAAAGATTTACAGCCTTGTAAACCTTATATAAAAGGAGCTCTGGTAGTGTAGTGGTTACAAACCGGGCTGTGAACCCCAAGGTCAACAATTCAAAACTACCAGCTGCTCTGCGGGAGAAAGATGAGGCTTTCTGCTCCCGTAAATATTTACAGCCTCGGAAACCCTTTTCAGGGTTGCTATGGGTCGGAACCGACTCCACACACTTAACAACAACAACAGACCTTATATAAGGTCGCTATGAGTCGAAATCAACTTGATGGCAATCAAATCCACAAAGGGCCCAGGTGGTGCAGTAAAGCTATCGGCTACTAGCAATGCAAACCCACACTGCATGACCATCAGCAGGGGCTCCTGGAGTTTCCACCAGCATCCACCATGAGGATGGGATGGAGCCCACTGCTACAGTCTGTAATGTGGCAGTACCCTGTTCCGACTATTTATCCAGGAGCAATCAACTTCTATCCTGCTCAAGGCCAGGTTTTGTCTCTCACTAATCAAAGAGTTCTGGCAGGACCTGAAGGAAGCAGAGGAATGAGGTGCAAAGGACTAGAAGTTCAGCAGCCCCTCATGGAAGGGAGACAGCTTTCTCTCCACACAGTTTTGGGGATGCTAGAGTACTTCCTCCGCCCTTCTTAATGTGTCTGCTCCATGACCTCCCTGTAGACTTCCTTGGCTCCTTCCTTTGCTTCCCTTGGAAACACACTTAACTGGTTCTCTATGACCTTCCTGTTCTATTATCCAACTTTGAAAAATAATCACAATGTTCCTTAGAAGGGAGGATGGTAAGAATTCTACTCACTTATTCTGGACAAGTCATCAAGAAAGACCAATCATTAGAAAAGGACATTGTTGTTGTTAAGTGCCATTGAGTCAGTTCTGACTCATAGCAACCCTGTACAGGGTTTCCGAGGAGCAGCTAGTGGGTTTGAACTGCCAACCTTATGGTTCGTAGTCTAATATTGATCCTACAGAGAGCCACACCTGGAGTCCAGAAAAGTACATGGTGATTGGGAAAAAAGTTGTCATTAATTGACATCGAGTAGGTTCTGTGCAGTGGTTACGAATCAGGCTGCCAACCTCAAGGTCAGCAGTTCAAAACTACCAGCTGCTATGAGTCAGAACTGACTCCACAGCACATGACAACAACAAGGTTCTGACTCAAGTGACCCTGTATAGAGTTTCTGAGAAGTGGCTAGTGGGTTTGAATTGCAGACCGTGAGGTTAGCAGTTCAGTGCTTATCCTACAGCTCCAGAGGGCCAACAAAATCAAAGGAGCCCTTAAATCACATGGATTAACACACTAGCTGCAACAATGGTCTGAACCAATGATGGGGAAAATGGTACAAGACCAGGCAACATTTCATTCTGTTCTACATAATGTAACCAAGAGTCTGAGCCTGCACAACAGCGACTAACAACTTGACTTGCAACCAAAACCAACTAGGTAAGAGTCTCCTGATTCTTGGTTCAAATTTTCAGCAGAAAGGATTCGTCACTGGACACTCGGTTTGCTGCTTTTGATTTAGGTGTTGGTTTAGTCACCTCAGGAGTGATAGGGACACTGGCCCATTGGACCGTCAGCAAGGGCCATGTGAGGGAGCATTTTCTCTGATAATTGATTTGACATGTTTCCCCCCAGGGTGAGAGAAGGAACAGGAAACTCTAGGAAAGACAGCACTGTGGCTCCACATAAATCTCATTTTCTCTTTGGCTTTTTTCTTTTCCATGGTAAATATCTTACTGTGTAAATATCTCCTCTGAATGAGAGAGATTAAGGCTCCCAAGTGTAGTATAGTCGGGTAGATGGGTGGAGTGAGCTAGGGAAGGGTAGATGACTAGGATGGGGAAGTGTTGGTAGGGTGGGACTGGAGGAAATAAAGCCTAATGCTCAATATCAAAGCTAGGGAAATGCCATTTCATTGCCAAGTCTAAAGGTCAGTGGCAGAATGGAAAACTGGACACAGAGCCAAGGTCAGGAGACAGCAGAACTGGAAAATGGCAGCAGACCAGGGAACAAAACCAGGCTGGTGATGGTGGCTGCTGAGAACGAGCTAGCCCTCAACCTCAACCCACATATAGAAGTGTCACACCAAGAAAGAGAGGACCTAGGTTTAAATGATAACATCCAGGAGAAACCAAATGGCAGATAAGAACTCCTTCTATGTTGTACACAAATTATGTGCATTTGTATATTTTCCTGAGATGGTTTGAAAGAATAGCACCCCAAAAAGGGTGATTTTAAGGTTTTGAGAGTTGAACATAGTCATACCGCTTAAGCTATTGGGAGTCCTGGTGTGGCGCTGTGGGTTAATGTGCTGGACTGCAAGGTCGGTGGTTCAAGCTCACTAGCCGCTCCTTGGAAACCCTATAGAGGATCACTATGAGTAGGTACCCACTCACGGTATTTAACTACAAACAACAATTGGCGCTGTAGGATAAGCACTGGACCACAAGGTCAGCTTGAATCTAAAGACCAGCAGTTCAAACCCACCAGCCACTCCTCAGAAACCATATACAGTGTCGCTATGAGTCGGAACTACATAGAATTTCCGAGGATTATTACGGACTCTCCTTAAACTTGGCATAAACCCTTATTGGCTCGGCCACATTCCAATGGGGCTGAAACCCCCTGCCTCCTGCACCCAGGGGTTCACTGCAGCCAGGCTGTCATCTGGGCAATTCCTCCTGGGGTCCAGGAGCAAGAACACCAGGTCTGGAAATGAATGAGCTTAATAAACGACGGAGAACGTACAGACGGGCGGAGGGATGGGTTTAAAAAGTGGGAGTGTGATTCGTGTCCCTCCGAGGACCAGCGGGCACAGCTCAAATATTAGTAAGAAGTTTGCCCACTTCTTCATAATCCGTCTGTTTCATTTACTAGAAAAACAAACACCCCTGCCTCTCTCTATCTTTGGGTATGGTTGGAATTCCGAAAAAGGGTGAAGCGCCCAACGAACGCTGCCTTCGTTTAAGATCCTTCGGGGCCCTGGAACCACGCCCTCAAGTGCCAGGATTTGGACAACTGCCCCTCAGCTTTCAGACCTGTGCCCGGCCCTTTGCCCCGCCTCCTGGCGCATCTTGATGATGTCACGTGCATGTCTCCGTGACACGCGCCAAGCCCGGAAGAGGCGCGGGCTGGGAACGGAGCTCAGCTTCAGGCTGTCGGTCCTCATGGCGTTGTGGCGCGGCTCTGCGTACGCATGTTTCCTGGCGCTGGCCGTGGGCTGCGTCTTCTTGCTGGAGCCGGAGCTGCCGGGCTCGGCGCTACGCTCTCTGTGGAGCTCGCTGCGGCTGGGGCCCGCGCCCGCGCTCCAGGGACCCACCTCCCCTGAGGGTCGGCTGGCGGCCGCCTGGGACGCACTCATCGTGCGGCCGGCCCGGCGCTGGCGCCGTGTGGCCGTGGGGTGAGTGCTTGCGGGTTGGGAGGCTTGGGAGCCCGACACTGCACGAGTACAAGTTTCTAGAGGTCTCCGCTAGGCTCCTCCAGGCTGGTGTTCGCGATGCTTCTGGCGAGAAGCGTTGGGCGTCCGGGACTAACCCCAGTTGTCACTGCAGCAGGGACTCACCAGATTGCTTTTTCCACTCCCTGTCCCCTGCGAACCCTGGACGAACCCTGTTGTTGCTGCTGTTGAGTCGATTCCGACTATATACACCGGCCCGGTATAGGGTTTTCGAGGAGCAGCTGGTGGGTTTGAACTGTTGACCTTGTAGTGTGCAGTCCAGTGCTGATCCACAGCGCCACACCAAGAGTCCTAGCCTCTTTCATATTCCACCCACTCCAGCTTCATCGTTCCAACTTCGAATCCCCTTTGCAGTGACAGATGCTTGTCCTTACCCACCTTGATGTCACTCTTCTTCCTCTTGATTATGAACTTCTTGAAAATGAGTGGCCCTTGCCTTAAGCTACTGTTTCCTTGTTTACCCTTCCTAAACTTGGTAAAGCCCCCCACTCTATTGAAATTCCTCTCACAGCTCATCTGAGACTTACTGACTTTCAAATTCAACTGCCTGGCTTTTTTAGTCTTTCTGATTAGCCTTCTCTGCAGCTTTACATGCATTGAAAATGCCCTTCTTCTTCTTAATTCTTTTCTTCCCCTGACTTCAGTGACATTGCATATTGAAAGTGTTTCCAAATCACAGTGCTTCCTTCCTTTGTATTCCTCTCCAGGAGTGTAATTATTCCTTACACAGTAACTCCAGTCGGGTCTCAGCTCTACTGGAATATCATGCCGTCACTCCAAAGGCACCATATTCCCAAAGCACCTCTTCTAATCATTTGAATGTTTGGGTTAGGGGGAGGAGAAGTGGGGAGAGGTAAGAGAACAAAATTATCCGGAAGATCAATTAAATCACCTGTGTTATGTACCCAGTATTGTGTCTGCTTTGTAAAAAGCACTCAAATATTAGCTAGTAGTTTATTGGTTTTTCAGATGTTTCCTTTTAGCCTCTGTCATCAGACCCTTTTCACTGTATCTGCATCCTAATGTATCTTCCCTTATTTTATGTTCATTCATTCAACAAATATTCATCAACTGCATGATATTATGGAGTTTTAGTATGGCGTTATAGGATAAGCACTGGGCTGTGAACCACAAGGTTGGCAATTCAAACTCACCAGCTGCTCCTTGGAAACCCTCTACTGGGTCACTATAAGCCTGAAATGACTGCCTGGCACTTAACATGATATAGGTGAAGTCTTTGCTAGGTTCTATGGATACAGGTATGCATGAAGAAAGGTCCCTGCCTCATTTGTTGGAAATAAATATTTTCATTATGGAAAAATGCTTTGCTGAGCTGATGGTAAGAACAAGGTAGTCTTGGTGTCCTCAAGAAGGATAACTAATGTTTCCCAGGATGGGGTGTTGTCAGAAAAATGCCATTTGAGACAGTGATGCACCATTTACTGTTGCCACATAATAAATCACCCCAAAATTTAGTAGCATAAAACATTTTATTCTCTCTGATGGCTTTGAGGCTTGGTTGGGTTGGGTAGTCAGTAGATTACTCAGTTGTAGTTGGATGTTGGCTCTAACTACTGGTGTGGTCTTAAGAGTTGATTGTAGCCTGCTAGAGCCTCAACTAGGGTTTTTAGTTGCTACACTTACTTGTGTGCTGCTGTGGATCAACACTGGACTGTGAACCACAAGGTTGGCAGTCAGACCCAGCCATTGCTCTTCAGAAAATCTATACAGGGTTGCTATGAGTCAGAACCAACTCAAATGCACTTAACAACAACAACAACAACAACACACCTATATGTAACCTTGCTACGGCAGGGGAAGGACTGTGTCAAGAGGACCAGGCAGGGAGAAGCTTTAATGCCTTTCATGATCCAGCCTTAGCAGCACATAGTGTCACATCTATTAGAATCCCAGGGCCACTTAGTGGCCTTAAGGGAGGGACTCTAGAACACATCTTGATGGAATGAATGGTGACATCACATTGTAAAAAGCATGTGGACTTGGAAATGGGGCCATCTTTATGCTCAGATGAAGTGTCTATGTGGACAGACGTTTTGAAGAACTGGGACTTTTCCAGGCACATGCAGGGCAGAGGGAGCCAAAGTTGAAAAAGTACGTGGCTTTTTAAGGGAACAGCAAGTTGTCCCTATGTTTAGGACAAGTTGTCCCTGTGTTTAAGGCAAGCAGCTTATATGTGTGCCAACAGACAGTACTGAGAAAGGAGAGTTAGGGCAGACTGTGAAGGGATCACAATCTTACGTTAAGATCAGTGATGGGCAAGCCATGAAAGCTTTTAAGCAGGCAAATGATGCTAAGCTGTTTGCTGAGAATAGCGTGGGAGTTGAAAGGTAGATTTTGAGCAGTCGTTCTAACTTGTTTTACTGCTTCACATCATTTTTGGTAGCATACTTCCACTGGTAACATTTCTCATCTCCAAAGGGATTTTTTACCTAAAGGTGAGGATTGCTAAAGGGTAGGCTGAGGGTAGGTACAATACATGTAGCAGAAGCTCAGCTTGGGTGTTTGGATTATAGTTTGACTTCTCAGAGTACACACACATTTATATAGTCTAGGAGCTCTGGTAGCGTAGTGGTTATGAATCGGGCTGCGAACCACAAGGTCAGCAGTTCAAAACTACCAGCTGTTCCGTGGGAGAAAGATGAGGCTTTCTGCTCCTGTAAAGATTTACAGCTTCGGAAACCCTATACAGGGTCGCTATGAGTCGGAACCGACTCCAGGGCACACAACAAGAGCAACCTCTTTTTACTCTCACATAAGTAGAAAAATCTTAAGACCCTGACATTGTTTAGGAGAGCATTTTAGGTTGTGGGTGAAGGATGAAAACAGCCTGGGAAAAAAGTGAGATTTCAGAGGTAATTGGTTGTCGAGGTGGATGTAGTAGACCAGGGAAATCATTCAAAGATGATCTTACCAAAACCCTAGGAGGGAGGCAGATACATGTGGTGTCAGTGTTCACAGATGAATAAACCCAGGCCATGAAGCATCAAATGACTTACCCAAGATCACACAGCTCTCAGATGCTGGAGGTGCAACTTAAGCCTGTCCCCTCCATTCATGTTTATGGGGGAAGATGACCAGTTTGATTCCAGAGGACAGAGAATGGTCTTGTGAGACATTAGCTAAATCTGCTCCTTGGGCTGCTGAAAGTGAAAGATTTGTGTTTAGGAGTGTGTTTCAGAGCACAGCAGCAAAATTTTGGAGATGTCAGCACTTAATTTGAAGCCAGAGAAAAGATGTTGTTGTTAAGTATCGTCAAGTCAGTGCAGACTCATAAGCCACCCCATGTAGGGTTTCTGAGGAATTTGAACCACTGACCTTGTGGTTCAAACTGACCTTGCAGTCCAGTGCATTATCCCACAGCACCACATCCTATGGAATTGCCTAATAAGAGAACAAGAAACGAAGGCAAAAATGGCAAAAGTAGAACCTCTGGGAGGCACCCGCCTCGGAAACCCTGAACAGGGTCTCTATAAGTCGGAACCAACCAACCAGCCAACCAAGAGGGGTGCAAAAATCACATAGCAGTAGCCATTCCTCACACAGCACACTCTACTCAACTGGCTTAGATAATCCACTGCAATGACCACACAGAACTCAGAGACAATACAGTTATGGGGTTTATTAGGAAAGTTGTAAAGTGCCATCAAGTCAGCTCTAACTCATAGCGACCCTGTATAAGGTTTCCAAGGAGCATTTGGTGAGTTTCAACTGCCAACTTTTCATTCAGGACCAGAAATGTTCAGGGCACAGTGCTTCCAGTCAGGACAGCCTTTCCTCATCTGTGCCCTAGTCAGACCTCTCTCTGTCCAGGCAGTGTTATAAAGCTCTTTTAGGGCTGCTGATAAATGCCCATCGTACACACCACTCCACCATAAAGGCTAAGTCTGAAGGCTTTCTGCTGTAACTCCATGGTTCAGCAAACCTCACAGCCCCAATTAAGTGCCTAGAGGAACCTAGCTCTGTGAGTAAACCTCCTGCCCAAAGTCATTCAACTTTACTTGTTCCATGGACCAGGAAGGCCACTGTTCTGTCTGGTGCTCTGGTTCTTGGTACTGCTGCTCTTCCTCTGCGTCTTCTCCAGTGTCACAGCTGGAGCCCCTGGCTCTGCCTTGATGATCCTGAGATTCCCGCCTCCTGCTTTTTGAGTTGGCTCATTTTATACCTGTGCTGGAGTTTCAAGTTTTTACAATTACAATTAATTTGTTAACATCCACAACTGAATCCTGTCATCCTATCAGCTTCTTCTCTTACCAGACTCATCAGGAAAAGAATCATTTAGTAGGAGTTACAAAGACTACGTTCTGCTGGGCATAGGGTCGCTATGAGTCGATAATGACTCGATAGCACCTAACAACAACAAAGACTAAGGCTAGAAGAGACATGAAACACTTTACTACACCACAAGGGAACTGCAGTCATTGAGATGAAGTGTCTGATTTCCTGAATGTAAAACTGATAATCTGCTTTGTAAACTTTCACTCAGTTCACAGTTTAAGTGCCGTAAAGTTGGGTCAGAGTCATAGTAATTATATAGGGTTTCCAAGGAGCAGCTAGTGGGCTTGAACCACCAGCATTATAGTTAGCAGTCCAGTGCTTACCTTCAGCGCCACATCAATTCATAATAAAAGGTTAAAAATAGTTATCAAATACAGTAATTTTCCTCTGTAAGACTCTTTCCCTCTGATATTCATGACATGATTTGGTAGAAGATTGAAGATATTTGAATGATTAAGGCTATATATATGTATGTAATTTGTTTTAATTTTTATTGAAAATATACACAGCAGACATAACACCAGTTTCGTGCTTCTACATGTACAATTCAGTGATGTTGCTTATATTCTGTGGGATGTGCAGCCATTCTCGTCCTCCTCTGAGTTGTTCTGGCCCCATATACATAAATTCACTGCCCCCAAGATTCC